TAAAAGTGTTCTTTCTACCTTTAATTTCATTAAGCTCTGGCCAAAAGCAGGAAAAAAATGGTTGATGGGAAGAGTACCCTGGGATTGCTGGTTTGGTCTCTTATTCAAACATAACTTTAAATTAAGAAACATTTTAGAGCTTATACTTAGTAAGGCAGTTTGAAGGCAGTTTACAGAATTTAAATCCAATAAATGCTTAATAAATCCTGAACAAATTACAGGATAACTAAAGGTTTTCAACCCGATTCTGATTATATTTCGCCACTTTGTTCCACGGCCCTTGCAGTTCGGTGGAAAAAGTGGAACTCAATCAGTCGGCGGTCGAGTGCTCCAAGAAAGCCGTTGCCGCAGTTCTAATGAAGCAATTTTCGTTAAAAGCAGTCACCGCAGCAGCTTCTCCCACCATCTCCTCCTCTGGTCCACTGCCTTTCACTTTTCCGGCCCCATCAAGTATGTGGGGATTCGTTTTCAACATTTTTAGTTGCCTCGGCGCGTGTTTGTTTCAAAAAGCTCAAATTGCGAGTGCCAGGAACAAAATCCCGACCGGAGGCCAAAGAAAAGGAATTACAGCTGACTCTGGCACTGACTTTTCGCAATTATCCAGCGCACCGAATGCCCAGGAAAATCCCCCGCAATCCTCCTCGCTCACAAAACTCACCGCCCCCTCTTCTCAGCTACGTGCGAATTTATTGATAGCGATATTTTGCTAGAGGATGCGGGGAGCCAGGGCTTAGGGGGACTGGAAATGTGTGCTAAGTGCATTTTACATTTCCGGTCAATGGCGCTAACCTCACGAAATCTTCAGGACTTACTTTCTGCACTGAAAGAAGTTGAAGTGTAAAAGTGGTATTAGTTATACGAATCTAAGCTATCAATTGCTTTACAAGGAAGTCGAAGTACTAACCCTTTTCAGAGGAAGATGGTAAATAGTTCAGGTTTAGAAATCCTTTATTCCTTTTGATTTTAAACTATTAAGCAACTTCATATACTAAAATTAACTAAATGGCAGTCTGTAGTCTTAGAAATGGAATTGAATGCCCTTTTAGATTGGCATTACATAACCGTTTTCCAAGTGTTGCCCCCACACCCCACCTCGACTCCCTATAGTCTGATTACATTTCTTATTATATTGGAGCAGTTCTCGCTTTGGTTTTCATTTGCTTTTCATTTGCCATTTGCGTCACGCTTCGTTCTGACCCCCGCTTGCCGCCTTTCCCCTTTTGGGGGCAGGCTATTGAGACCTCAACGATCCTAGATGGTACGTGTCCCGGCGCCCAAGGGTTAAGAGCGAGAGCGAGAGGACGCGAAGGAGACACTTGAAAGTGTCGACACTTTCGAACTTTTGCTGTTTTCCTCTTATTTTTCTCCCCTTTCGTGCCCCCTGCAATTGCTGCTGCGTAATTTTTATTAGCTCTGAATGAGCATCTTAAGTGGCGCTCTATTTATCTTGGAAAACCCCGCGCTCATTTCCAAATTGCCAGCATAAATTTATTTGTTTGGCAAAACAATTTTCCCCGCCTCCGCGTCACTTTGATGCGTGTCTCGTTTTACATTTTCTGACAATTTCATTGTTCCACGGCTGCCTTTTATTTCGAATGATAATTTTTGGCGCGTGTGTGCGGGGAGTCACGTCATATGCCAGGAATAGGGGGCGTGGCAGCAATGCTTTTATGCCCAAATAACAAGCCATAAACATTTCCAGTTGCCATTTGCCCATTTTCGCGAGCGCATTTTAAAAAGACAACAGCAGCGGAGAAACAAATAAAGAATGATAAAGAATTTTATAGCTCACACGCCAGATACACTGAGAACAAAGGGGGCTAAACGAGAGAGGGATTATATGCTGAAAACCAGAAAAGTTTTTCTTCTTTATTAAAAGTGTGTGGAAAGTACAAGCAGGCGAATGATTTCAGTCTAGCTTAGAATTTATCATTTATAAAGTAGAGTAACTGCAGTAGTTACTACCCCTTTTTCCCAGTGTACAAACAAACAAATAAACCAAATGGCATCCTCGCATTAGAACGCAACCCCTCTATTACTTTACTACAAATGGCCGGCAGTTTGAATATTTTGATTGCTCGCCTGCCTCAGGTATTTTGAGTGTTTTTGTGCCTTTGATTAGTTGACACATTTTATAAGCCATTCCCTGGCTAAACGGGCATTCAAATCCAAAGCGAGTCCCACTTCTCAAACTTTTGGCTAAATATAAAAGTGACTGGCTAAGCTGTTTGGTTTCCGGCATTTACCTTGCGGCTTGCATTCTGTGATTTTTAAGGCTCTGTCATTCGGACAGGATTTTAATTGTATATTGACACGTGACTTAATCTGGCCAATAGGAGTCAGTAGGACTTAACCCTTCTTTTTAGTTTGGCTTAAATATCAATAGTTTATATAGAAAAGGTGGATAATCTACCTCGTACATAAACGAACTGGTAGGGAATTCTGAGAGATTCCAGAAAGATTAATTTGAAATTTTCAAAATTAAGTAAAAACGTTAATCCATCAAGTCATTCAAGTTAACCGCAGAGACCAACTCACAGGCAATTAGCAATTTTCACTCGATTTAGGGAAGTGCAGTTCCCAGGGGAGTTTCCAAGTATTTTGATGGGTTAAGTTCTGGTCAAAGCGAAACTCACTGCATCTCCAGTTGGCCGATGAGCTCACCATAAATTAGGCATATAGATATGTGCTCGACTATGGTCTATAGTTATCCCCCAAACATATATCCCACACACAGCCCCCGCACACACACACCCGCTGAGGAGAGAGGAACATGTCTGACCAAACATTTTGTATAGGACAATTTCTAAATGGAATTTAATTTCCGGATTAGAATAGACATTTCATGCATGCTACGAGGGGAGGGGTAATGCACTGGACTAACTGGCCAGCCGGTCGTCTTGCCAGGACTTCTCCCCCTTCCTCCTCATTTCATTTCCCAGATTTACTGCTCATCTATACACAGGGATTAAAACTTGTGTCCTATCTTAGCAATCTAATACTGATTCTAAGATTCAGAAAGGTATGTAAACTAGATACAAAACTCAAACTCCCTTTCTTCTTGATTTTTTCCCATAACCCCTACTATCCCAGTATTTTTCCCAGTGGACTACTCATTCAAGCTTCTACTTTCCAGATTCCTCAATGCCTCAATGAACAATCACAACAAAAGGGTTTGTCTGTGTGGCAAAGGGGCGGCAACTGGTAGGCGTGGCTAGTAAAATGCTCCGAAATTTGGGTTTCTTTTTCCCCACCTGCTGCTTTTTTTGGACTTTTGGTTTTTGTTTAAAATTTCCAAACAATTTTCCCAGCAGATTTGATGAGTTGAGAGAGTGAAGAGATCATGATTGGCGAAGGCATTGAGAAGGGGAAAATCGAAGGCGAGAATGGGAAAATCCACCCACCTTTGCGGGCTTGATTTATGCCCAACTCGAGTTATTAATGTAATTTGATTTTGGCAACAGCAGGTAAGGCATACAAGAGGGGGACTCCTCCTCCAAATTATGAGGATGACGACGATACTTTTGATGAGTCGACAATTGAAAACAGCAGCTAGTCAAGGGTGGAGGCCCACTTTATGGGAAAGTAAATTTTTTAATAGAGAGTAAATTACCGGAAACACAATTAAAAATGTTCCAGGCTAAAATATCTGAGAACGAGGAGACAAAAGCTAAGCAAAACAAAGACCAAAATCAAAATGAGGACGGCACTGGCTCAGGGGTTCGAGCCAAGGCAAAGGGTTGAGTTTAATTAATGGTTTAAGGTTGGGGAAATCATTTGGGCTAACTGCAGGTTACTCAATCGCCAAGAAAACGAGCCAAGGCAAGGGGTTAAGGACTCCAGCTACTTAACACCCTCTAAAATCCTCCCCCTTAATCGTTTTCGGAATTTTCCAAGACGCTAAACGGTCGACAATGACGTTGACGTTGGCCTAGGGCAGGCAAAAATTGTCGGAAACACCTTGTTTTTTGACTGCCTCCGACGGCTCCCCATTTTCCTGCGCCACCCAAACGCTTTTCCACCCACGGCCATTGTTGTTGCCCCGTACATAATATGTCCATTGTTTATGAAACAACGGCGAAAGCAGGTCGCCCTCGTCTGATGGAGCGAATGCTTAAAGAAAAACATTAGGTCCGAGGTGGAAATGTGTTAAGGTTGTGGGGGAGTGGGCTGATAGTTAGCTTGGAGGGGGGCAGTGTATTCTTAAAAAGAGTTTCTCAAGGGAAAATCTTTAAGATTTCTCTACACGTATGAAAATCTTTCCTACAACTTTTCTACAACTTATTTCTTAATCATTACTTGGAAAGTTCAAATATATTTAGCAGCCAGGTGCTGCAGTCTCTTCTTTTCAGTCGGTAAATAAATGAGTGGCTCTGGCAGGGACCATAGTAGTAGACAGAGATGGCTAGAGAAAGGGAGACAGAGAGACAGCTAGCAGGTAGCCGGGAAAGTTTAATATGAGTTATTATGTGCACAAAAGTTTTATGATGCTGCTAAACCTGGTTAGAGACCTTTGTTAAGGTGCCAACAAAGCAAACACAGAACGCATTACGAAGTCGAAAGCTTAGATACCCTTTAAAACTAATGGGAAATATATATCGGATTTGTATGGCAAGAATGTTTTATATTACCTAGAACTTAATATAGATTTTAGCTCTCCAGCTGAATATAAACAGGGAATGTGTTATTAAAGGGTATATAAAGTGCATAGTTACAGGCGACCAACTTAGTCAGGTCTTAACCTGCCTCGTGTATCTGTTAGATACAATTTGTTTTAATTGCACAAAGTAGTTGGCAACCCTGGCTGGCAGCAGCAGCGGGCCAATTAATTCCCATTTAACTGGTCTCAGCTGGGATTTTCGGCCAGTGACAACTTTCCGTTTCTGCCGCTGTTTTTCTTAAACGATCTTTAATATTTCCTTGCCTTGCAAATGAGAGGCAAAGCCCCATTTGGACAATGGCTAACCTGCAAATGATGTCTATTTAACATTGATTTATCCTTCAAGACAGTCATCAGGCACCGGGCACTGTTTATTTAATGTAAATAATACATTTCGATGCACTTAACTTAATTTGTTTAACAGAATTTGTTCTTTTTATGACACATTTACAAAATATGTATAGCTTCCAGTCAGATTTCGTAGATTTTGCAATGCTCCTTACTTGGTTTTTATTGTGTTTCTTTATAAATGCGAAAAAGGTATAGCAGTCTTTGCTCAGTTGGCAGCCACAACCTGATCGTACTTCGGCGGCAGGGCGGACATCGTCTGAGGCCCCTGCTGATTCTGCCAGTGGGTGGCATTCTGGGCAGGCATCACTGTGGCGGTGGCGGTGGTCTGCGCTGGCACACCCACCTGTGCTGCTGGCACGGTCACCACAATATTTCCCCTAGCCATCATGCGACGGCATCTGCGGCAAGGACGTCCCCAGGCCAAGGGATTGGCGTAGTAGAAAATGGTTCGGCGATGGTTGCACTCGCACTGCAGGTTTATATTAACATTATTAACGTTACTCATATTGCCCGAGTTCTGGTCTTGGTTCTGCGACTCTTCTTTGCTAACTGTCTCTGCTGTCTTTCTGCCCGGTATTATATATATTTTGCTGATTCCGAGGCTCTGCACTGACTGTGATAAGGAAAGCCTCTCAGGCTGTTATCACTACATTGATCGATTAACTTTATGGCACCCTCAGTGATTCAAATTTTCCAGGGCTGGTCGCTTGCATTAAAATATATACTACGATTGACTTGGATGGCTGATTCACAGAGCTCCGCATAGCTGGGGGTTGCCTGGGAATTATCTAAAGTTGGTGAGTCACTTTCGGGACTTGGGACTTGGAAACTGCAGAGAGCTGTCAAGATAGATCAGAGACTTACATAACCTACCATATAACATAAACGACTCGGTTACATACATTACAAGAGTCACCTGAATATCGTGATAAGATACAAGTTAAGTGCCAGAAATGTATCTTTAGGTACATAAATTGTGAAAGTAGTTCTATAGAACTGATCTGTTCGTCCATATTTGAAGTTAGTTGGTGTAAAATATTCTTGAAAATAGGTTAATTAAACTTATTATTATTCCAATCCATTATTATTATTATTATTCAGAACTTCATTACGCCTCGGTTTTCATATCTGAATAACAAACTAAAGCAAATTATTTGACATCTCACTTTATTTAATAACAGTAACCATTTTTTAGATTTTTTAAAAAGAAAATTATTTGAAATTCCATTAAAGAGGAAGTCTTCAGATATATTTAACCCTTTACCTATCTTTTATATATCTGGTTTAACTTCGGGTATCTTTTATGAAAGCTCCTACAATTGGTGGATGTGTTTTTAATTCTAAATGAATAAAACCATTTCTCTTGTTCGGTAAATGCATTTATTAGACTTAAAGCGATTAAGATTATCTTCAAAGTTAACAATCTTTAGAACCTTTTGGCTTAGTAGGTGGAAACAGAGACTGGAACGAAAGTGGTCGTGGTGCTGACGGCGTTGTTGGTGGTGGCAACAGGAACTCCCACCTGAGTGGGCACCACCACAACGTTCCTGGACATCATTCTGCGGCATCGGCGGCAAGGACGTCCCCAAGCCAAGGGATTAGCATAGTAGAGCACTCCCCGACGGTGGTAGCACTCGCACTGGAGGTTGATGTTGATGTCAGACATGGTTTCTTGATTTCTAGGATCTTCCTTGCTTGAGTTTTATGCTTAGACTGGCTTTACCCCTTTGTTATATCGTTTATATAGAGAAGTTGATTGTGATAAGGGAATACAATGATATCTTAATCGTTAAAAGGGATCACTCAAGTTGCGGTGATTCATTCTGGTTATGGTTGAAATTTGTTCGTGGTTGAGTGAGTCATTGGAGTCCCCTTCTTAAGCGGTCCCCCAGCTTGCATTGCTATCATTTAAGCTGTGTAAACATTAAAACATAAAATAATACAAAAATACAAATACAAGTTACAGATTTTCCACAGCAGAGAGATTAAAGCTCAACGAGAATTGAAAAAACGAACCGAAGCGTAAACAAATGACATTTCATAGTTTTCATTTTATTAAAGCCCAAACATGTTTGTGTACAGACAAGGCTAGCTGTATACTAATTGATAAGCTGACTCTGGCCAAAGGACATCAATCATTTCGGCCAAGTCAGATAGCAGCCAAAGCCAAATACAAAAAAGTACGAAAACAATCATGTTTCCAGATAATAGAGAGAGCGGACAGGGGGCCAAGCCTTGACCATTGTTTATGCCATTCGCCAGCAGTTAAATTTTCATATTTGTACCATTAACATTGCGAATAAAATGCAGGCAGCATGAAAATGTGTCATAGCAGGCCGACATTGAGAGCCAATCAAATGTATTTCAATTAAAGCAAAGTGCGTTTAAGTCATTTTAGCAAGTATTTCATGCGGATCTGCAGTTACATTGGGACTCCAAGGACTGGATTGGGGGAAACTCAAATTATTTCTGAAGATAAAGTTGAAAAATCTTTTAATTTTATTTCTTCCTTTTTTATTTTTCCTGAAAACTAAAACAAAGAGCTAACTTCAAAGCGTGAACGGATTTTATTTTCCTGTTTATTGTACAAACTTTTTTTTATCATTTTAAATTGACAATTTCTGAGGGATATTTGATAAATAACATTTATTTGCAAGGATATCTATGTATAATTCTAACATTAATTCAGAGAATTTGTAAAGTTTTCTACGGTTGTTCACGCTTCTCGGCAACGCCTACCACCTGGGCGGAGGAGGCTGCTGGACAATGATGACCTCCTCTCGGGGCGGAGGACGGCGACCGCCGATGTTGAACTCGATAAAGGGTCGGCTTGGCGGCACCACGTCGACCTCGATGATGGGACGTGGTGGTGGCGGTGGCGGCTGGTAGACGGCAGCTGGGGTTATGACCTCCACCCTGGGGGGTGGTGGAGGGTAGCGACCGCCCACTCCGATCTCGATCACGGGGCGAGGGATCCTCGGCGGCACAATGTCCACCTCCACAATGGGCCTGCCACCATGATGGTGATGGTGGTGGCGACGTTCCTCCTCGTAGTACGGCATGGCTGTTCAGAAGGTATCCAGGTTTTATCCTCAGTGGCGATGCGGCTACCTTTGACTCTCTCGTCGAACTGACTTACCGCCCCACCTGCTTAACTATTTAAGGCAGTTTTTATCGCTGATTGGGGGAACTTTTTCTAATTTCGTTATGTACGCTGTGTTTTCGCACAGTAGCTTAGTTTCCTATCTTGTCAGGTGGCATTAATGTCTTCTTCGATAAAAACATTGATAAACACTAATTGATAAACACAAAATTCCAATGAGTAGTCAAATGGGCTTCGTTCTCAATCTGAATTTCATCGGTGAGTTCAAGGTTTTCATTAGTCATCATTTCAGGAGGTAAAGGATGTTTGGAAAACTTATTTTTGTAGTTAATTCAGGCCAAATACTATACCAACAAACATCTTCCAGTAAACGAAAGATTCGAAAAGAAGTTCTTGTGGTATATAATGGAGATTTTATTTATTTTATTTAAAAAACGATTGAAATGTTGATAATTTTACATGAAAGGTAACTTATAAAACTTATTTCTGATCTGATTAGTTAATAACCTTTCTTAGAAAAACTTCTGATAATAAATTCCGCCACTTGTCTGTTGTTTATAATTAGCTATATATTGATACATACAACTTGTCGGTACACACACAGGTTGTCTTTGATATCAATGGAACCCACTATCTATATCTTTGCTGAACAGATTTTTGTTGTTATTTCAAGAACTTTATAAAAAGACAAGGGATATTTGTTTTTCCTTTTGTTATCTATCGTTCGGTTACACTTTATCGATAATACATTTCATTTTGGTTAATTTGGAGGTTGCTTAGTTTATTCTCCGCCGTTCAAACCTCTTTCACCACTGCTGATAGGGAGGATTGCCGTAGGGCTGCTGGTACTGGTACTGATATTCGTAGGCCGGCTGCTGCTGGGGATAGTATCCATTGGTGGCCACCGTGACTCCGCCGTAGGGCTGCGGCATTATCATCTGGGCTCCGGTGCCGGGGATGTAGGTGGCCGCCGGCGTCATGTAGACAACCTCGGCGGGCCGAGGCGGAGGCGGCGGCGGATAATAGCCGCCACCCCAACCGGGAACCACATCAATCTCGATATTTGGACGACCATGGTGATGGCGAGCAGGATAGCAGCATGGATCCTCATAGTACCGCATAGTTGATTAGCCAGTAAGTAATCAACCGACCCAACCTCACCACCCAGCTACGCGTTGAACACTGGAAAGCCCGCGCCAAAGCACCTCTCTCTCGGGCCAACTAGAACTTTGGGGCTCCATCAATCAGGGTTTGTGGGAATTATTCCAGTGGTTAGAGCGAAAGATAAGGCGGCTTAGTCATCCGACAAGGTCTGATAACGATGGCCGGACAGTTGTGCATTCACAGGTGATCGGGTTTTGCTTTTCCGCGCTTTCTGTTTACTATATTAGCCCATTATGGCTTATCGGTGGGTGAAGTGCTCTTATCTCCCAGATAGGTCAGAATGTGCAGAAAAAGCGGAAAATGCTAACCCAGAAATCGATATATATATCAATTTATGCTCAGCTAGAAAACAACATAGATGTTTGGATAAAAGGGCAACTAATCAACAACATTTTTAGTACAATAGTTTTAAGGTAAAGGTGAAATTCCTTTGTTTTTCCCCTCCCATTATTGAAAATTATAATGATTCATATATATACTTTATTACGATTATACAGTGGCTTGGTAAGACTACCTAAAATAAATTCATCATGGCTGATTTACAGATCAAAGTTCTCAGATCGCTTTTAATATTGTGGGTTGTGGTAGTGGCTACTGCCTGGTGGTGGTGGGGGAGGGTACTGGTAGTACGGTGGCGGAGGGGCCTGTTGCACCACTGTAACTGGTGGTGGCGGTGGCGGCGGCTGCTGCACCACCACAATCTGGGGTGGCGGGCGATGGTGGCGCCGCGGCCATGGCGGTGCGATCTGCACCTTAATCACGGGTCCACGGCGATGTGGTGGTCCTCCACAGTGATCGTGAGGCGGTGGTGGCATTGTGGGTTAAACTAATATTTCCTGGTAGGTCCAAATATGTCGACTTATCGCTGGTAACTAAACGAACAGAGTGCGCAGCTCATGGGACTGACTAAGTAATCAAAGTCATAAAATAAAGCTCCTCAAAAATTACTCATACGCAGTAGGGGCTCTTATTTACCTGATTACGGAAAGTATCGATACTATTCGATATTCGATTCGATTATTTGCATTAAGCTTTTTAATGGGAAAAGCTTTTCAATACTTTTGTAAGCCAAGCCATCATGTCTTTCCTTGGATGAGTCATTGACGGGAGGGTTACTCTGGAATCACTTTTATCTCTCGCACATTAAGACCTTGTCAATGAATCACTGATTTTGGGGGGATTTTTTCATTTGGCTTTCAGACAATTGTGAAAATGCTCTATAATCTTATCCAAAAATGTATCAAATTATCCTTTAAGTTGGGCATTTTACAAAGGAAAATCTTAAAAGCCCAGAAAACTCTTCAATCTCAGTCAGTTAATCTCTCCAAATAGTTATACAGTTTTCATAATAAAAATTAGAATAATCCTCAACATATTTTCCTTGTCTTGTAAGTATTTAGCAAACATTTGCAATTCTATTACGCACAGTTTGCAGACATGCCTTGGCCTCGAGGGGTTAATATTAAATGCATGGCCAGGAAAACGGTCATTTCTCTTGGTCAATCAAAACGTCTCTCAAGTCTCAATCACTTGACTTCCTAACAAGTCTTTGGTGCCTTTTTTCGCTTTTGTTAATTGAGTAGTTCGGGCTGCATTTCGCGGCTTGTCACTGCGTGTGGCATAGGGTTAACCATGGGGTTAGGGGTTAAGGGTTCTCGGCCTAAAAAGTTAAACATGCACAAAGTGGCAAACGAGTTTCGGGCAAAGTTTCCGACTGCCGCAAAAGAAGGAAATGAGTGCCGCATAACTCGCAACATATCCACTCAACTTCGTGGGCGGTAAGCGCAAGGGAAGGCATGGCGGGCTGCTTGACAGCGCGTATCAAATGAATGATGCCACTCCTTTTGGTTATTATACTCTCTCAAGGGGGTTACCAAGATGGTCTTGAAATAGGGAATATTAAGTTAGCATTTGGCATTAGTAACTCTATCGGTAGTCAATATTCTGAATAATACAACATTATGCTGCTTACCTTAAACGTATTTAAAAGTGACTTCAAAGTTCTTCCCCAATAATAAATATTTACGAGTAACATTTAACCCCGAAAAGAGTATGAATGCCTCGCTTTTCTGTCAAGAATTTTCCACGATTATTTTTTAACTCTTTGCCAGATGCTCCTTATGCATATTTTAGGAAATGAATTGCAAGCGAGTCCTGCGTCCTGGCAAGATAAAATGTCTCCGTCTCCGAGTCAAGAATCTGAATCAGAAAATCGGGGCTCGGGATTGGGAGCGGCATCTGAATCTGAAACTGAGGTGGCGCCTTCGAATCGATAACTGTCAAAAAATAAGCCGCCAAGCAACATGCAAGACAGGCGTAAGGGGCGTGGCAAACGGGAACGTACTGGTGGTGGTGGCGGTTCTTAGCGGTGGCGGCGGCGTCGCGCAATTTAAATATTTATGGCGCTGCGCTCGGTGCACAAGACACGGAACCAGGCACACGGCATAGCCAAAAAACCGTAACCGTAAACCTAACCGAGAAACCAAGAACAGCAGCTATCCGAAATTGTGCAGCGAGTGAAGGTGCACTGAGAGAAAGGAAAGTGAAGGAAAGTGATTAGGTTTTTGATGAATAAATGAACAATTTCCAAAAGTGTTTTGCAGTGCACCGGCTCCTCCTTTACGAGGCATCTTCAGCGGCGGCGTCAGAAAACGCATTTCCTGCTCATGTCATGACATGCAAGCGCGGCTGGGAAAACGCATAGCCAGAGTTGGGGAAATCGGCGAAGTTGGAAAACCGGGCGGTGCCGAAATGGGCTAACCGAAAGGAATCATTGCTTTTGTCGACATGTCATGGCAATACTCGTATCTGGAAAGTGTTTTCTGGGGTTGGGCTGAGTAGTTCTCCGAACATTCTCGAGAACATTTTATTGAGCTACAGTCTTCAGGCATTGGCTGTGAGTTTATGATTGATAGAGTTGTAAAACTGAAGTCGGGAAGCCAAGAGGCTTCTGAAGGTGGGGGATGACTTGGCGGGTTCTTGTGATGCCCAGTGGGAAAATATATTTAAGCCTTAGCTGAAAATGAATTAAAATGGAAATAATAACGCATTACAAATTAATTACAGAATATCTTCCTTGTTAGTAAACTGAAACCTTTAAAAATCCTGTTAAATGAAGGAAAATTAATTTTCTGTAAAATCATAAATAATATATATATGTATATTTTTAGAGCAAATGAAAATGCCTTGAGTGCAAAAGTGCTTGTTATTTGATGCCGAAGCACAGCAACAGTTTCAGAGGCACTGGTGCCTGCATTCTTGTCAACTTTTAATTGAAATCCCCTCACAGTTTTACAGCCTTTGGAGTGCACCACGCCCGCCCACGAGGCCATTAAGGAACTTGTTAATTTGCATTTTCCATTTCCATTTGCATGAAATTTGTTTCTGTTCGCCGGCGCAAAAATTAACCAAAAGAAACAAAAACGAGGCGAGAGATGAAGAGAGTGAAAACTTTTGCCTTTAATGAGCTGCCTGCGGTTTGAAGCCCCTTAACCCCAGAAAAACCCACACACAAACATATTTTCGTTTCTCTTTGCCCTTTTTGACACTCTTGGCAATTTCCGACTTTTACTTTCCTGTGCCGCTTTATAATTGGTTTTCACTCCTTTTCTCAAGCACAACGAATGCCAACAAATACTCAAAAGTGACATAAAGGCTTTTCCATATCCCAAAACACAGGCCAAAGTATTGGTCAAACATTTCCGAGGAAAAGGGAGGTCCAGGAATCGGAAAGATAAACTGTTGAGCACTAAATGTTTGGCAAATATTTTTGCGACTTTGTTGCGTAACACGAAGTGACCAACTCCTGGCCACGCCCCCACTTGGGGGTTTCCCCGCACTCTGCTCTTGGCCAGGCAACCGAGTGGAAAAAGCATCGTCTGTCCACTCGAGTGTGCAATTAGGTGAAAATAAGTGGTTCGACAAACGCCTCCGAGTATGCAATCATTTAAATTTCACTTCATTTGTCCTTTTCATGATTTGCCCCTGTTTGATGGACTGCCTTACACTGGGAAAATATGGGAGAGGTGTTTTTGGAATCGGAAGAAGCCGATTTAAGGTGCACAATTGTGGATTTTACTTATTATGTCTGTAAAATATTAACTTTTAAGAACAAACTTAATGATAAAACATGAAGTGTGAGAAGAAGGTTGAAACTTATGTTCGGAAAATATCAACTTAAATATTAAAAGAGCCATAACTTAACTTTCTTTTCTTCAGTGTTCATATTTCCAGTGCCCATTTCTTCCATTGCGAAATTTCAGGCACCAAACGAAATTATTTTGATTTATATGCAGGCAAGCACCTGCTCATTCAAGTTCCCTGTTTTCCTTTTTTCCTGCCCAGATATTTTCCCGCCCTGGGATTTGTCTAAACTAAACGCTTTGATTTGCGAAGCTCCCCGCCAAGGAACTGCCATTCGTCTCCCGGATGTCAACAAAACCGGAATTTGAAATGCAAATTTAATTTGAGACGTCGACGGAAGGCCTCCTCAAGACCAGTGGTTCCTCGCTTTAATTGCCCCAATGAAAAGGACGAAGGTCCTGCTGGGAAAATGGGCGGTGTGGGGCACGGGAAATAGAGGAAAGCTCTGAGGAGCTGACAGCTAAGCGCCTGCTTTGCCTGTTAATTTTACGCCAAATCAGCAACAACTTTGATTTCGATTTTATGCCATGTGCATAAAATTTTTGCGCTGACTCAAAAAGTTCGCACAAGTAGTGTGTGTGTGGGGGTGGTGGTGGGTGGAAAACGCTGGGAAAGCGCTGTGGATGTGGCAGTAGGCAAATCAAAACCCTAGCAGAGCGAAGCGGAGTGTTTGGCCTGATTGAAATGTTGGCAACTATTGCGCCAAGTACTCACAAGTTTATTGGCAAATTGATGAAGTGTGTTCGCCTTTGCATGCGCATGAGTTTTCCACAGCCTGCAAAACAATTTTCCATTTTCATTGCATGCCGCTTGCAATTTGGCGGCGCTGATATGCAAATTAAGTTGTTGCACTAAACGACGTGCCGGGAAACAGGGAAAACCATGGGCGGTGGAAAATCAAAACGGGGGTTGGGCCTCTCCTGCCTTGGCTCATTTGTATTACAATTCGTCACTGAAATTTGCATGTGTGTGGTTGGCTTGGGGAAAGTTTGCCTGGCTGTGAGCAGCAATGCCTCTTCTAACAGTTTTTCTAACCGAGATGGGAGCGGAAAGTTACTAAGAATGCTGGTTTGATACTTACAAAAACTAAAAAATATATCGTGACTACCAATTTTCCAGTCTCTCTTGTTGCTGATCTTTTGATTTCTTCGTTCTAAGGAAGAAAGTCGAATGCAATGTCCAGAAAACTACTTGCAGGCTTGCTTTCTGGGTGACACCTCAAGACTGAAGGGCGGCCACTCCACTATCCTCAGCTCAAGTTGCCGCAATCAAAGACCCATTTACATTTCCCGACCGCACTCTCAATCGCCACTCAAAATCACAATCGAAACACCTCAAGCAACCTCCTCGCATTTGGATGATTTGTAGCCAGCACAAGGGTGTGCCCCATATGGGTGTATATGTTTTAACGCTATTCGTGGCAAGATTTATGGGTGGGTCGAGGAAGAGAACGGGGCTTAGCAAGCATTTCATTCCCATATAAATTCGAAATAATCTCGAAATCCAAAACCGAAAGAGCAAAAAGCGAACGGCACGAAAAGCTCACTTCATTAGCTCAATAATTTGACGATAAATTATGCGGAAAGCGAAAACATAAAAACCGAAAATCAGAAATGACAAGAAAGCAACATAGCCAAGGAAGTATTCAGAGAGCGAAATGCAAGCATAGATAAACGACTACTAAACACCCATTTATTTCGCGTACATTATGTGTTTCTGAATGGTTATAATGAAAATGATTA